TGCAGGAATAAAGACACAGACGTAGAGAATGGACTTGAGGGCATGGTGGGAAAGAGGAAGCTGGGATGAAGTGAGAGAGTAGCACTGACATATATACGCTACCAAATGTAAAATGAACGGCTAGTGGGAAGCTGCTGCATAGCACAAGGAGATCAACTTGTGATGACCTAGAGGGGTGGGATAGGGAGGGTGGGAGGGAGGCTCAAGAGGGAGGGGATATGGGGATATATGTATGCATATAGCTGATTCACTTTGTTATACCGCAAACTAACAGAACACTGTAAAGCATTTATACTCCAATAAAGACGTGAAGAAGAAAAAAAAAATGACAATTAGAATTACCCAGTATAAGGAGCAGAAAGAAAAAATGAAGAAAAATGAACAGATCCAAGAAACCTATGAAACACTATCAAATGTACCAACATACACATTACAGGACTCCTAGAAAGAAGAGAAAGGGGCAGAAAAGATATCTGAAGAAATAATGGACAGGAACTTCTGAAATCTGAGATGTGAATATGCACGTCCAATGCCAAACAGGATAAACAGAGGTCCACACTGAAACAAATTAGAGTCAAGTTGTCAAAACCCAAAGACGGAGACAATTCTGAAAGCAGCAACCAAAGAATGGCTCCTCATGTACAGTGAAATAAAAGGGTATTAGATAGTAACTCAATGCCACAAGAAAAAATAAAGAACACTAGTAAAAGGAACTGCACAGGTAAATATAAAAAGCTAGTATTACTATACTTTTGTTACAGCTTGTAATGTCTCCTTTTCCCACATGATTTAATAGGCAAATGCATGACAATAATCGTAGTGTGTCATACAAAGATGTGACCTGTGACAATAACAACATAAAGGGGGGACAGAGATGTAGAGTGTGTTTACACTACTAAACTAAGTCAGTATTATTCCAACTAAGTTATCAGCTTTTAATGTAATCCCCAAAGTAATGACTAAGAAAATAACTAAAAAATATACAGAAAAGTAAAGAAGGGAATTAAAATGATACACTACAAAAAAAAAAAATATCAACTAAGGACTTCCCTGGTGGCACAGTGGTTAAGAATCCACCTGCCAATGCAGGGGACACAGGTTCGAGCCCTGGTCCGGAAAGATCCCACATGCCACGGAGCAAGTAAGCCCATGCGCCACAACTACTGAGCTTGCGCTCCACAGCCCGCACATCACAACTACTGAGCCCGTGTGCCACAACTACTGAAGCCCATGTGCCTAGAGCCCATGCTCTGCAACAAGAGAAGCCACCTGCAACAAGAGGAGCCACCGCAATGAGAAGCCCGCGCACCACAACAAAGAGTAGCCCCCACTCACCGCAATTAGAGAAAGCCTGCGTGCAGCAACAAAGACCCAACGCAGCCAAAAATAAATAAAATTTTTTTAAAAAGCCAAGATTCAACTACATGCTGTCTACAAGAGACTCTCTTTAGATATAAGGATATCAAGGAAAAGCCCAACAGAGAGGGTTTCAAGTCTACAGAACATTTAAAAAAGAATAAACACCAACCCTTCTCAAACTCTTCCCAAAAACTGAAGAGGAAGTAATACTTCCTAACTTATCCTATGAGTCTAGCATTACCATGATATCAATGAGAGACAAAGACAAAAAACTATGGACCAATACCCTTATGAGTATTCATGCAAAGATCCTCAACAAAATACTAGGAAACCAAACTCAACATATTAAAAGGACTATGCACGGGGACTTCCCTGGTGGTCCAGTGGCTAAGACTCCACGCTCCCGATGCAGGGGGCCTGGGTTCCATCCTTGGTCAGGGAACTAGATCCCACAGGCCGTAATTAAGAGTTCACACGCGGGCTTCCCTGGTGGCACAGTGGTTAAGAATCTGCCTGCCAATGCAGGGTACACAGGTTCGAGCCCTGGTCCGGGAAGATCCCACATGCCGCGGAGCAACTAAGCCCATGCGCCACAACTACTGCGCCTGCACGCTAGAGCCCGTGAGCCACAACGACTGAGCCCACGTGCCACAACTACTGAAGTCCACGTGCCTAGAGCCCATGCTCCGCAACAAGAGAAGCCACTGCAATGAGAAGTCTGCACACCGCAAGGAAGAGTAGCCCCCGCTCGCAGCAACAAGAGAATGGCCGCATGCAGCAACAAAGACACAACGCAGCCAAAACTAAATAAATAAAATTTATAAAAACTAAAAGAGTTCACACGCCACAACTAAAGATCGCGCATGCCGCCACAAAGATCCTGCATGCCACAACTAAGACCTGGTGCAGCCAAATTAATTAATTTTTTTAATCCCCATTTAAAAAGGATTATGCATGATGACCAAGCAGGATTTATTCCCAAAATGCAAGGAGGGTCAACATATGAAAATCAACCATTGTAATACATCACGTTAATAAAATGAGGAAAAAACCCCACTTAATCATGTCAACTGAGGCAGAATACTACCCAACGTGATCTACAGATTCACTACAATCCCTATCAAAATCCCAATGACATTTCTTTGCAGAAAGAGAAACACCCATCCTAAAATTCATATGGAATCTCAAGGGACAGCCAAAACCACCTTAAAAAAGAACAGGTAGGGACTTCCCTAGTGGTCCAGGGACTTAAGACTCCATGTTCCCAATGCACAGGACCCTGCTTCAATCCCTGGTCAGGGAACACAATCCCACATGCCACAACTAAGCATTCTCATGCCCAACTAAAGATCCCACATGCCACAACTAACACCCAGTGCAGCCGAATTAATAAGTTAGAGGACATACACTTCCTGATTTCAAAACTTACTACAAAGCTACACTAATCAAAACAGTGTGATGCTGGCATAAGGACATATAACCAATGGAAGAGAATAGAGCCTAGAAATAAACCCTTGCATGTACAATCGATTTTTGACAAGGGTGCCAAAGACCATTTGTTATGAACTGAATGTTTGTGTCCCCTCAAAATTCATAAGCTGAAGCTCTAACCCCCAATGTGACTGTATTTGGAGGTAAGGCCTGTGAAGTGGCGATAAAGGTTAAATGAGGTCATAGGGTGGAGCCCTAATGCCATAGGACTGGTGCCCTGATAAGAAGAGGGAAGTGACACCTGAGATCTTTCTCCACCAAGTGAGGACGCAATGAGGCGGCTGTACTGCAAGCCTGGAAAGGAATCCTCACCAGGAGCTGAATCAGCCAACACCTTGATCTTGGACTTGGTTTGGTTTTTTTTAATTTATTTATTTTTGGCTGTGTTGGGTCTTTGTTGCTGCACGAGGGTTTTCTTTTACCTGTGGCGAGCAGGGGCTACTCTTCATTGAGGCGTGCAGGCTTCTCATTGCAGTGGCTTCTCTTGTTGCGGAACATAGGCTCTAGGCACACAGGCTTCAGTAGTTGTGGCATGCAGGCTCTAGAGCACAGGCTGACTAGTTGTGGCGCAGGGGCTTAGTTGCTCTGTGGCATGTGGGATCTTCCCGGACCAGGGCTCGAACCCGTGTCCTCTGCATTGGCAGGCAGATTATTAATCACTGCACCACCAGGGAAGCCCAATCTTGGACTTCTTAGTCTCCACAAATGTGAGAAATAAATTTCTGGTTTTTAAGCCACCTGGTCTGTGGTATTTTGTTATGGCAGCTTAAGCTAACACACCATTCAGTGGGGGGAAAAAAAAGACTTCCAAAAATGTTACAGGGAAAACTGGATAACCACATGCAGAAATGTTTAAAGTTGGACCCTTATCTTATACCATATATAAAAATTAGCTCAAAACAGATCAAAGACTAAAACATAATACCTAAAAATATAAAATCCCTTAGAAAATATAGGGGCAAATCTTCATAATCTTGGATTTAGCAATGATTTCCTGGATATGACACCCTGAGCACAGGCAACAAGAGAAAAAATAGATAAACTGAACATCATAAAAATTAAAACCTTCTGGCATCAAAAGACACTATCAAGAGAGTAGACAGACAACTCATAGAATGAGAAAATATTTGCAAGTAGTATATCTGATAAAAGATTACTATGCGAAATACACGAACTCCTACACCTCAAAAACAAACAGCCCAATTCAAAAATGGGCAAGGGATTTGAATAGACATTTCTCCAAAGAAGGCACAGAAATCAATGGTCAAAAAGCACATGAGGGCTTCCCTGGTGGCGCAGTGGTTGAGAGTCCGCCTGCCGATGCAGGGGACACGGGTTCGAGCCCTGGTCTGGGAGGATCCCACATGCCGCGGAGCAACTGGGCCCGTGAGCCATGGCCGCTGAGCCTGCGCGTTCAGAGCCTGTGCTCTGCAACAAGAGAGGCCACAGCAGTAAGAGGCCTGCGCACCGCGATGAAGAGTGGCCCCCGCTCGCCACAACTAGAGAAAGCCCTCACACAGAAACGAAGACCCAACACAGCCAAACATAAATAAATAAATTAAAAAAAAAAAAAGGTTTAAGCCAGATTGTAAAGCCATTTAAAAAAAAAAAAAAAAAGCACATGAAAAGATGCTCAATATCATTAGTCATCATGGAAATGCAGAACAAAACCACAGTGAGTTACCACTTCACACCCATTAGGATGACTATGAACAAAATAATGGAAAAATAACAAGTATTGACAAGGATGTAGAGAATCCGGAACCTTCGTGAATTGCTAGTGTGGATATAACACAGTACTGCCATTGTGGAAGAGTGTGGCCATTCTTCAGAAATTTAAACATAGAATTACCATATGATCCAGCAGTTTTACTCCTAGGATTATACCCCAAAGTACTGAAAGTAGGGAAAGTACAAGTACAGATCTGTATACCAATGTTCATAGCAGCATTATGCACAATAATCAACAGGCAGAAACACCCAAGTAATCTATCAACAAATGATGGGTAAACAAAACATGGTATCTACAAACAGTGCAGTTATTATTCAGCTGTAAAGAAAGAATGTTGTCCTGACACCTGCTACAACACGGATGAACCTTGAGGACATTATGCTAAGTGAAATAAGCCAGGACATAAAGGGCAAATGTTGTATGACCTCACTTATATGACGTACTTAGAATAGGCAAATTCTCTGAGACAGAAAAATGGAAAGGGGGAGAGTGAAGAGTTACTGTTTAATGGGTGCAGAGTTCCTGTTTCAGATAAACCAGTTTGGAAACAGATTTGCTGATGGCTATACAATATTGTGAATGTATCTAATGCCACTGAATTGTACAGTCAAAAATGGTTTAAATGGTACATGTAACGTTGTATATTATTTTACCACAATAAAAAAGGCAATTATTAATTCTATTAAGTGATACAGAAAAGTATGAATATGCCAATTTTTTAAAATTTACAATGTGTAAAACAATGTAAACACATAGATCTCTCCAGTGTGAGTTTTCTAGGATTGAGGAAACGAGCTGCACAGAAAGCACCACAGTACTTCTCTTGAGGATGCTGTTTGGTGTGTCTGGACGAAACCTACACCGGGCGCAGTGGTGGTGAGTTCTCTTTGTCTAAGGGGAAGCTACAGGAGTTTCTCCTATTTGCTTACGTTTCTCACTCGATTTCTCTAAAGTGACCATGCACTGCTTCTGTTTTAAGACTTTTTTTAATTAGAAATGCCCTTTCACCTGTGACAACACTATGTGGACAGCAGGTAAAGGGCTGGGTGGGTCACATGCAGGAAGTGCACAGCAGACCTCAGGGGCCTCCCCCAGTCATGGGGAAAAGTCTTCCCGGAGGTGAATCCTCTGATGCTGGGACATGTTGGAGCTGTGCCGGAAGGCCTTGCCACACTCGCCGCATGTGTATGGCTTCTCCCCGGTGTGGATCCTCCGGTGCTGCAGGAGGTATGTGCCCTGGCTGAAGGCTTTCTTGCAATCAGTGCATTTGTACGGCTTCTCTCCGTGGTGTGACCTCTGATGGTGGATGAGTCTGGAACTGTTGTGGAAGGCCTTCCCACACTCACCACACTTGTAGGGTTTCTCTCCCGTGTGGATCCTCTGATGCTGGATGAGGTGGGTGCTCTGGCTGAAGACTTTGCCACAGTCATTGCATTCATAGGGCTTTTCTCCGGTGTGGCTTCTCTGATGTTCAACAAGCTTGGTTTTTTGGATGAAGGCTTTCTCACATTCATTACATTTATAGGGTTTTTCTCCAGTGTGAATTCTTTGATGTTGAATAAGGTTAGAACTCTGGGTAAAGCCTTTGCCACATTCTTTGCACTCGTATGGCTTCTCTCCAGTGTGAGTCCGACGATGTCGGATGAGGATTGAGCCGTCACTGAAGGCCTTCCCACAGTCATTGCACTTGTAGGGCTTCTCTCCAGTGTGGATCCTCTGGTGATAAATGAGGGACGAGTAGGCACTGAAGTGCTTCCCACACTCACTACACTTGTAGGGCTTCTCCCCAGTGTGGATCCTCTGATGCTTCATGAGATTGGGCCTCTGATTGAACGTCTTCCCGCACTCATCGCAGCGGTAGGGGATCTCCCCGGAGTGCATCCTGTGATGATTGATGAGTTCGCAGCTCTGGTGGAAGGCTTTCCCACACTCGTCGCACTTGTAGGGCTTCTCTTCGCTGTGTAGCCGCTGGTGCTTGGCAAGGTTAGCACTGTACCTGAAGGCTTTCCCACAGCAACCACAATAATGCAATTTTTTTCCAATAGGAATTTTGTGATCTTCTTTAACAGCTAAATTTGCAGTGAAAACTTCCCCTAAATCACGCACCATATTTGTTTTTTTGGACCTGTGTACACGCTTATGGTTATTAAGATACGATCTCTGTTCAAAACTCTGCTCACATATATCGCATTTGTGAGGTCTCTGATCAGGGAGAGGGCTTGACCCCAACCTGAGGTTTCCCCCAGACTCCAGGCCACTCTCCTTGTTGGCCAGTGTGACTGGCCTGGGGCCTCTCTGCTCCACAGGCCCGTCCATGCTCCCCTCTGGCTCCCTGACATGCTCACAGGCTTCTCCCGGCTCAGGTCCCTGGAGAACACTCCCCCTGAGTCGGTCCAGTTCTTCCCCATAGAGCATCTCGCCTGAAGTCAACTCCTGATTCTCAGTCCTGGTCCCATGAGCTGAAACAACAAATGGAACACCTCAGGGTCACCTGTTCTGACTCTGGAAGGAAGGTATAAAGATGCTGCTGACCACCTGTGAAGTACCATCTCCATCATCTCCAAAGTCACAAAAACACCATCTCCAAAGTCTTGCAGACATGAAAGCCTGGAGCCCAGAGGCTTAAAAGCCTTGCCCAGGGCTGCAATCTCGCGGCAGCACAAGCATCCGCCCAACTCTTAACCCCCACACCATTCCTGCCTGCCTTCTGCCCACAGAGCATGCTTGGCTGGGACTGCAGGATACCTGTCCTCATCACAAAAGGACAGAAGATGGAAGCTTCATAGCATCATGGAAACCAGAGCAAGGAGGGGTCCCAAAACTCATGAAGGATATCTGACAAAGAAATTAAAGCTGAGCGAGTGTAAGGCTGCCTAACAATAACTAATCCACCCCAAAATCCATGGTGGGAAAACCAGCTGCCTCCCCAGAAGGGCAGAGAGTAGAGCTCATGCCAACTGAGGAAGAGAGGGTAGAGCACACAGAGGCTGGGTCCCTCAGCCCTCCCTAGCAGGCCACGCCCATTCCCAGGGCTCTTCCCAGGGGCCTGAGAGACCAGGAGCCACCAGCACCTTAAACTCAAGATGCAACACGGGATGCCCTCAAGTCTGAGGCCCATGTCTCCACCCTTTCTTCCCTGACGAGGCACACAGTGACTCCACTTGCAGGAATACACTCACCAGAAATGCATTCTCTGTGAGCCAAGACACGCACACACACACAGCCCCAAAATGGGGACAACCAAATGCCCTGCAGAAGTACAATGGAAAATACTTGTGGTGTGTTCACGACAGAACAGCGAACAGACTGAACAAACGTCATACAACATGGCAGGCTCACCACATGCAGGTGCCCCATAGGAGTCAGATAGAAGGGCCGGTGGGGAGCAGTGAGAAATGACGGAGGAGGCCCTGTGGGCTCCCAGGGAACTAGATATGTTCTCTATTTTGATCTGGATGATGGATTTTCGTAAAAATCGACTGAGCTGTAAATAGGGTCTGTCCCATTTCTGTAAGTATTTATATTTGAATAAATAAATTTACAAACGTGAAATTCAAGTTCTTTGAGCCAATAGTTCCTTCCTAGGACATCAGCAAGACACCTGCAAAAAGTCACTCATCAGCGTTCTCTGTGGCAATGGACCCAGAGGACACCATTCCCCACAGCACACCATTCCCCACAGCACTTCCACTGAGAGCAGTGACCGCAGCTCATGTGCACAGAAATAGAAATGCATTCAGTGAAAAATCCAGCGACCCTTCAATGCACACAGATCACTGCATTCCTGTTAGGAAGCGATGTCTGTGTGCAGGTACAGACCAAACTTCACTGGAAAATGGACAGCACGTACACACCGGAACACATTTGTATTTGGGTGCTGAAATCTGGGGTGATGTGTACTCCCTCCCTTTCCTATAATGGCCTGTAATCATCTAGTAGGTTAACTTAGAAGAGGGCAAACGAAGCGATGTTCTCCATCCCTATGGCCCCGCCTGACGGTCTGACGCCCCTCGGAGGGCATGAGCCCTGGACAGCAGGGCTCCATGGAGTCCTGGGGGCCTGGCCTTCCTTCACAGCACACCCGAGTGCCTTCCCCTCTTCTCCTCCACCAACACTGCCCCCTCTTACCCTCCTAGAAGATTCAGCTCAAGAATCACCCTATAAATAAGCAACAAGGATATACTGTGCTGCACAGGGAAACATAGCCATTACCTTGTAGCAACTTTAAATGAAGTATAATCTGTAAAAATACTGAATCGCTACACTGGACACCTGAAACTAACAGAATATTGTAAATCAACTATACTTCAACTAAAAGAAAGAAAAAGTCACCCCACTGTGGCACCCAGGCTGGCAAAGGTGACCCGGGTTTCAGCAGAGGCCACTCCCAGGGCTACTGCACTGGCCATAATGCATCCTCCTCCAAATTCATGAGTCGGATGACACTACATATCGTGGACCCCCACACATGCTTGTTCAGCAAGTGAGTCAGGGAGTCAGCCCCCCTACGCACCTGAGCCATCGATGTTCGGTCGCTCTCTCCCCTGCACGTCCGGGACCCACGGCTCATCCCCTCGCTCCAACTGTGTAATCACCTCTGGCTTGGGGCCTGCAGGTCCAGCTCCTGGGAAGGAGACGGGGCCTGGGATTGATGCCAAGGACACAGTGTGGGCTCACCCTGGGACTGGCGGGGGAGAGGACACACAGGTACAGGGGGTGATGGGAAGTCTGGAAACTCCCTGGAGAGGTGGACGTGGTCATGAAGATGAAGATCTGAGCACAGGGGACTCTCTCCACCAGGAGGTGCACCTACATTGGGCCTGGGGCAGGGAGGCAGTCTTATCCGGTGCTGGCGAACCCAGCCCCACCCAGGGCCCTCCTCTGTGCAGACCAGGCCTGCCTGGGACGGGACGAGGGTCAGTGACACCCATCTCTGGGCCCAGGGGATGAGGCCCCCAGCCCAGCCCCTGCTGAGCCCTGAGCCCCCAGGACTATTCCCTGAGTTGCATCCCAGGAAGGGGCCTCACCCAGCGAGACCAGGTTCCTGTAGGTTTCCAGCATCACATCCCTGTAGAGGCCCTTCTGAACAGGGCCCAAACGGCCCCACTCCTCCCTGGAGAGGAGCACGGCCACGTCCTCGAAGGTCACTTCAGCCTGGAACAACAAGAGCTGCTGCAGGCCCAAGCGTGGCTCAGGCTGGGCCCGGGCTAGAGAAGCAGCACAGGGGTGATCACAGGCCTGATCCCTCAGCGTGGCCCTAGGGGGTGACCTGACCCCTTGGCTGCTGAGCCAGCTCACTCAGGGAGGTTGGGGGATTCCCAGGGTCACCCTTCCTCTTCTCAGCGCCCCACAGCAGAGACGCCTGACAGTGTTTGTTGAGGCCAAGCAGACAGGGAAGCCCTGGGAGACCTCACGCCTTCCGGGGAAAACAGATGCTCACCTGGGGCAGGGCAGAGAGACGCAAAGCTGCCATCGCCTAGTACCCTGGGCTTCCCGGGGATTGAGGCAGGAGCCAGTCACTCAGGTGCTGAGGGAAGAGAGAGGAACATGTGGAGGTCCAGCCTGGCCCCTCCTGCAGCCGCAGCCTCAGGGCTTGACCTTCCGGGCAGACTCTGCTCCCTGCAGACACGTACAACATTTCAGGTCATCTGCCCCCATCTCCTCCCGGGCACCAAGTAGTCTCATTCAGGAGGAGGATAGAGACAGTCATTCACTTTATATGAAAGAATAAAGATAACACATTAAGGGCTGAGGAAAAAAAAGGAGTGAAAAGAAAAAAAAAATCAATAGAAAGCATAAAGCAAAGTCAAAGATGAGGCAAAAAATACAAAACTAGTAGAAACAAGACCAATGGATGTGTAACAGTTAGAAGTAAAAGGATTAAGCTCACCTACTGGAAGCACAAGAGTCTCCAATTAGATACACAAAATGCACGTATATAACCTAAAATAACACAGAAAGGCTAAATATAAGACAGACCAAAGAAACACTAATTAAAATAAAGCTATAATAGCTATATTTACCTTTTCTGTATCTTTAAAGCTCTTTATTGGAGTATGACGTTTATACAGCAGAGTCGACAACCCGAACACACAGCTCGAGGGGCCCGGCCCACAGAACCAGGCCCTGGCAGCCCTGCCGCCGCTGCAGGCTCTGCCTCCTTGCCGGCCTCCCAGGAGAGCCTCTGCCGGGCTCCTGGCAGCACAGATCAGCGCCCTGCGGACTCTGTCAGAGGGGCTATGCCTTCTGCACTCCGTGCTGCCTTCTTCCCCTTAGCACGGTGTTTGCGAGCTGAACATGCTTTGCTGCATGTGCCTTTGCGATGTTTATACCAATCAAAACAAGACTGAAAGCAAAAATCATTATTAGGAACAAAAGCAGACACCGGGTATTAATAAAACGAAAAATCCACCAAAAGCTGTAATTACAAACATGTGTATCTACAAACAAATCCTTGAAGCGTAGAAAGCCAAAGCTAAGTGCAGTGCCAAAGAGAAACGTGCAAACCCTCCCCTGGAATGAGAGATTTTAACACACTTCCCTCAGAAATGAGTGGACCAAATAGAAGATACTTAAAGCACAGAGAATACACTTTTTCAAAATGTACACTGAAATTGTAAGAAACAACACATACCAGGCAAAAAAGAAAGTTTCAAAATATTCCAGGGACTTCCCTGGTGGTCCAGTGGTAAAGAATCTGCCTTCCAATGCAGGGGATGTGGGTTTGATCACTGCTCGGAGAACTAAGATCCCACATGCCACGGGGCAATTAAGCCCACGTGCCACAACTTCTGAGTCCACACGCCCTGGAGCCTGCGCGCCACAACTAGAAGACAAAACCCACACACCACAACTAGAGAGAAGCCCACACGCCGCAACAAAGAGCCCGCACACCGCAACAAAAGATCCCGCGGGCCACAACTAAGACCAAACGCACCCAAAAATAAGTAAAATGAAATAAATAAATAATAAAAAATATGGGCTTCCCTGGTGGCGCAGTGGTTGAGAGTCCGCCTGCCGATGCAGGGGACACGGGTTCGTGCCCCGGTCCGGGAAGATCCCACATGCAAGGGAGGGGCTGGGCCCGTGAGCCATGGCCGCTGAGCCTGCGCGTCTGGAGCCTGTGCTCCACAACGGGGGAGGCTGCGGCAGTGAGAAGCCCGCATACCGCAAAAAAAATAATAATAATTCACAAATCTTAAAAAATGTGTGTGGGTGTATATATATATACATATATATGTATGTGTGTATATATATATATATGTATATATATAAAACACAAAAAGTTCCAAAGGCTGATATCATTTGGCAAACTTTCATATTGTTGTTCCACTAGAAATATCTGACTTAAAAAAGGACCCCCCCTTCAAGAAAAACATAGAAATGGAAATTAAGGTGGAAATGGAAACAGAGACTACCTAAGGGAAACCTTAATGCACTTATTTTAACAAAGAGATTGAAATAATAATCTAAACGTTCAACAAGAAACCAGGCACAGAAAAAGAAAGCAATTCAAGGAAAGAAGATGAAAAAAAAATAAACACAGTTTAAAGAAACAGAAAATAATCTCAAACTTGGTTCTTTGAAAATACTAATAAAATACACAAATGTCTGGCAAGTCCAATGTGGGGAAGGGGAAAAGGTGGGAAAGGAAATACTATTAAGAACAAAAAAGGGAACACAACTCTACATACCACACATTAAGAGTGGTGGTTCTCAGAGTGCAGGCCAAGACCCTGGCACTCCTAGCACTCAAGTCTGTTTCATAACAACGCTAAGGGAACACAACAGCAGCATTAGCATTAGTCAGCGACAAGAGGCAGATGCTTGCTCCCTCACCCAGCTGCTATGTAACAGTGTACCAAAGACCCTAGCCAATGCATTAAGTCACAGAAAAAGAAATAGAAGCTACAGTTCCGTGGTTAGGACTCCGTGCTTCCACTGCAAGGGACACGGGTTTGATCCCAGGTTGGGGAACTAAGATTCCACATGCCACCACGCAACCAAAACAAAAAAGAAGAAGAAAAAAGACAATCTACATAGAAAATCCGAGAGTATCAACCTAGTGTTGGGATGATAAAAGTTCAACAGGATTGCCATATACAAGGTCAATAGGCTAATTAATATCACTCCCATATACTAACAATCAGCAACCAAAAAAAACAGCATTCCTAACAGCTACAAAAACTATACAGCACCTACGAAAGCTAACAAAACAAATGTAACTTTATGGACAAGATGATAAAACTTCACTGAAGGACACACACATAAAAAAACAAAACCTATGGAGAAACAGACAACGTTCATAAACAGGAGGGCTCAATATCACAAAAATGTCAGTTCTCCCCAAATGAATCTATTAATTCTGTACAAGCAAAACTGCAACGGGACAGCTCATATCTGACCAAAATGACTCTAAATATCACAAGAGTAATGATCTAAGATTAACCAAGGCAATGCCAAAGAAGAACTAAGGCAGAGCCATGCCCTACCAGATATCAAGTCTTATTATAAGGCTGTGGTAATAAAAGTGAGATACAGCTTTCCCTAGGTGTCCATGCAGAATTGATTCCAGGACCCCAACAGGATACCAAAATTTAAAAATACTCAACTCCCTTATATAAAATGGCATAGTATTTGCATATAACCCACACACATACACATCCCCCGTATACTTTAAATCATCTCTAGATTACTTACAATACTTAACACAATGTAGATGCTATGTAAATAGTTGTAGATACAATAGAAATACTATGTAAAGACTTGCCAGGTGGGTCTTCCCTGGTGGCGCAGTGGTTAGGAATCCACCTGCTGATGTAGGGGACACGGATTCGACCCTGGTCAGGGAAGATCCCACACGCCACGGAGCAACTAAGCCTATGTGCCACAACTACCGAGCCTGCGCTCTAGCGCCCGCGTGCCACAACTACTGAAGCTCGCGTGCCTAGAGCCTGTGCTCCGCAACACAGAGAAGCCACCGCAACGAGAAGCCTGCGCACCACAATGAAGAGTAGCTCCCACTCACCGCAACTAGAGGAGGCCCGTGCGCAACAACGAAGACCCAACGCAGCCATAAATAAATAAATAAATAAATAAATAAATAAAAATTTATACAAAGTTGCTAGGTGTAGCAAATCCAAGTTTTACTTTTTGGAACTTTCTGCAATTTTTTTTCTTCCAACACTTTCAATCCTCGGTTGGTTGAATCCACAGATGCAGAACCCACAGATACAGAGGGCTGATTGTAAGAGCACAGGAAAGAGGATAATGGAACAGATCCACGCATATATTAATGACACACTTGCAATGTTAAGAGCAATGCACCGTTCAGTAAATGAAGCTGGCACAACTGAATTTCCACAGGGAAGTAAAATTAGATCCTGCCTTCCATGGCACACAAAAATATATTTCAGACAGGCTGAAGGCCTAAATGTTTCTTTAAAATGTTTACAGCTATTATAAGGAAATAATACAGAAAACACACCATCCATAAAGGAAAAGTTGCTTAATTTTACTCCATCAAAAAAACCTTCTGTACAAGACACCACAAAATTAGAAGCAAACTGGGACTTCCCTGGTGGTCCAGTGGCTGAGACTCCACGCTCCCAATGCAGGGGGTCTGGGTTCAGTCCCTGGTCAGGGAACTAGATCCCACATGCCACAACTAACAGTTCGAATGCCGCAACTAAAGATCCCGCAGGTGGCAACGAAGATCCCGAGTGCCACAACTAAGAGTAGCCCCCGCTCTCAGCAACTAGAGAAAATCCATGTGCAAGCGAAGACCCAATGCAGCCAAAAATTAAATAAATGAATTAATTAATTTTTAAAAAACCCACAAGGAGGGGCTTCCCTGGTGGCGCAGTGGTTAAGAATCCGCCTGCCAATGCAGGGGACACGGGTTCGAGCCCTGGTCCGGAAAGATCCCACATGCCATGGAGCAACTAAGCCCGTGAGCCACAACTACTGAGCCTGCGTGCCACAACTACTGAAGCCCACGTGCCTAGAGCCTGTGCTCTGCATGCAACAAGAGAGAAGCCCACTGCAATGAGAAGCCCGCACACCGCAACGAAGACCCAATGCAGCCAAAAATAAATAAAATTAATTTAAAAAAAAAAAAACACAAGGAGATACCACTTCACACTTGTTAGAATGGCTACTCTCAAAAAGCAAAAGAGGAACTTTCCTGGTGGCACAGTGGTTAAGAATCCACCTGCCAATGCAAGGGACATGGGTTCGATCCCTGGTCTGAGAAGATCCCACATGCCACAGAGGAACTAAGCCCATGCGCCACAACTACTGAGCCCGAGTGCCACACTACTGAAGCCCGCGCGCCTATAGAGCCCGTGTTCCACAACAAGAGAAGCCACCACTTGCCGCAACTAGAGAAAGCCCGTGTGCGGCAATGAAGACCCAATGCAGCCAAAAATTAATTAATTAATTTTTAAAAAAGAACATCCTTTACCTTTTAAAAGAAAAAAGCAAAAGATAAGCATTGGTGAGGATTTAGAGAAAAGGGAACCCTTACACACTGTTGGTGGAAATGTAAATTGGTGCATCAACTATGAAAAACAGTATGAAGGTTCCTCAAGAAATTGTAAGTAGAACCACCATATGATCCAACAATCCTACTTCTCAGTATATATCCAAAGGAAATGAAATCTGGAGCTCAAAGTGAGATCTGCACTCCCGTGTTCACTGCAGCATTATTCACAACAGCTAAGGCATGGAAACAACCTAAATGTCTGTCCATGGATGAAAGGATAAAGTAAATGTGGCAAAAAGTAAATAAAAAACAAGGAAGAAAAATGTGGCATATATATACAGTGGAATATTATTCAGTCATAAAAAAAGAAGGAATTCCTGCCATTGGCAACAACATGGATGAACCTGGAGAGCATTATACTAGGTGGAATAAGCCAGACACAGAAAGACAAACGCTGCATGACCTCACTTATACATGGTATCTAAAACAGTCCAAATCATAGACTCAAGGAGTAGAATGGTGGTCGCCAGGGTTTGGGGATTAACGAAAATGGACATGTTGGTCAGAGTACAAACATTCAGTTATGCAAGATGAATAAGTTCTGGAGAGTTAAGGAACAGCCAGGTAACTATAATCAACAATACTGTATTATATACTTTGAAATTTGCTAAGTAGATTTTTTTTTTTTTTTAAATTTAGACTGCTACGGGTCTTAGTTGCGGCATGCGAACTCTTAGTTGCGGCATGCGGGATCTGGTTCCCTGACCAGGGGTCAAACCCAGGCCCCCTGCATTGGAAGTGCAGAGTCTTAGCCACTGGACCGCCAGGGTTTTTAACAGTTTTCTTAAATTACAAAAAAAAGGGCGGGGGAGTGGGTGGGTTTGAAAAAACTAGCAAAAAGAGAACTGGCAATCCCAGTCCCTGACGTTTGCTAATCCATTCTCTGTACTTAAGTTTTAACGAAAAGGATTTTTTAATGCTACATTTTAAAAGCACAAAACAATGGGGCAAATAAAAAGGTTTCAGACCTTGAATAAAAGCCTCTAGAAAGAGAAACAAAAATTTGGCTACTGGGAGAAAGGCTTCCGTGGGCCAGAAGCAGAAGGGTGGGAAGGAAGGGAGATACGTCCGGTGGGGCGGGGTGCGGGGCCCGCAGGGCCGCGGGGGAAATACGGAGGCGGGCTGACGCTGGAGGTGACGGGAGTGTGCACGGGCATGAACCCCCCCGAGCTGGAA